GAGTCTTGTGCTTTTTTTTTCTTTTAGTATCCTGTAGAATAGTCAATATACAGGAGCTGTGGCAGTAAAGGTGTTAACTTGGGTAAGTGGTTGTTGAACTTTAAGAATTTTCTGGGGAGTTTCTGGTCACTGGGGGACATGAGACTTGCTTTTATTTAGGGTTTGATCTGCATGTGTACAGGCTGGTAGAATGCATGTAGTGGCTCGAAGGTTTAAATCCATTGGTTGTGGCCCATCACTAGGCTGAGTGTTATTTGTGCTTTTGAGTTGCAATTGTTGTGAATGTTTAAGCTCTAAAACCTTTTCAGTCCAGGCTGCAGCGGTTTGGTACTGAACATGGTCAGTGGTTTTGTCTCGTACTACTGTGGTTCTCAAGAGACTTTTTAGAAAACATTTGTAGGAGTGTCTAGTCACTGTGCAATGTCAACTTTTAGTTTTATAAATGTTTTTATTTTTTTTTCTCGTAGGAGCCAGTGTTTATGGATAGGCTCTGATCCGTCTGGGTCGAGGGTGGGTTGATCCGTTTTGGGATGGATGCACTGAATTTGAACTTGTTGAATTAATCTTGTTTGCCAGTGACAACCGTCATGGAGTATTGCAACAGCATATTCCCTGGAAGTCTGCCATGTCAATGGAAGAACTAGACACTAGCTGAAGTCTCTTCAGTAACTGCATGAATCGCTGACATCGGTAGTGCTGCAATGGACAGTTTGTAGGAGTGACTTGATCACAGCTTGCGGTCCACGTCTGAGAAGAGGTAACTGGTATTGTGTGGATAAGGCTGAGGTGATGCTCAGCCAAGGTTGTCAAGCCTCTGCGTACAGTGGACATTAAGCCAATCATCCTTTTGCATGAAGCTCTTTCGTGAGTTTGGTCAGCAGTGATGTTTCTTGATCCCTGGCCAGCTGTATGCATGGTGTGGAGTGATGGGCCTGGGGCTTCCTGTTCAGAGGAAGCTCACTGGCTGATGGAGTCCCAGCTGTGACCTGGTGATGCCCTACCGTGAGTATTGGTGTTTTCCACATTAAACAGTGGAGAGTGAAGACATGCTGCAAGCTGTCCTTACATTTCCTGGATGCCCATGTATCTTGGAGCAGTTATTGTCTAGGAGGACACGGTACCTGGAGCAGAGGTGAGTTTCGCTCTTCTCCCGTCTAACCTAGTCCAAACCACATTTGATGCTCTATGAACATTTAGTATTGGTGAGTGAGTTTCACTTTTGGCTATCTTTCATGTTGCTTAGTCCAAATTGATCCAACGACCCCCTCATTTGTAAGAATTTTATAATGGAGGAAAAGGTACTTTTGGTGTAGGCTGAGTGTTAAACTCTTGGACCTCATTGTCAACATGCTATCCATTTAGAAGCGAGGTGTAATTTTGGATTTGTATTGTCTGTCTTTTGGGTGATGTTTGCTCCTTGATTGGGTGAGGCACTGACGTGCACTTGACTGGCTGTCATTCTGGCTCTCAAAGACTAAATTAGTGCTTTTGTATGTGATTTATTTCATGGGTGCACACATGTAAATGAATCACTTTAGTTCAATTGTGACCTGAGTAATTGGACTCCCGGCTGGTTACAGCTCTGAGGAGACAGCGTGTCAGCCAGGTTCTCTTGATGGGTGTAAGCACAGGAACTGCACTTGCTCCCCTGTGGCACGACAGTGGACTGGGGGATTTTCTTTGCTCTCTGTGGGGTGTTGTCCTGTTGGTTTGACTTGGACCCTGTTGGTAGCGAAAATGCAGGGTTGACTGTTTCTAAGAAAGGTAGAGGACTTGGGTTAAATCCTTCTCTCCGTTTCAGGCTCTCTGCTGCCAGTAGGGATGAGAAGGCTTGTGCTCCTGAGGGAGGACCTTTCATCTCCAGGGGTGGAGCGCAGATGGGGCAGGTCTCTTTCGGTGAAGGTCTACTGGAGGAGTAGGGAGCTTGTTCCAAGTCTGAATGTCATTTACTTTAGAGGATTCAGGTTTGACTACAATGTGTACATTAGCTACATGGGGAAAGTTTTCATTGGGTGCAGTACATACACCCGGATACTCTGGGTTCACGTACAATTGTGTAGACTGTTGTCTAGGGTGTATTGGGCAGATGACTTTTGGCATGTGCATGGGACATGTAGCATAGTGAGTAAACTCCTGTTACTCTTGGCTATTTTTTTGGACTTGAAAGACGGTTATCAGGTTAGAGATGCAGGACAATCTGAGAGCCATGCCTTATCTTTAGTTTACTGCATGGAGAACTGAGTCTTTGATTTTGTAACCAATTTTAACTTGCAATCTGTCATCTTCAGTATTCAAGTCAGTGTTGTGATGCAGGAATTTCTGGAGTGAGCAGGCCTGAACAGTTGTTTGGGTCAGGGATAGACTAGTATTTAAGGTTGGGGTTTTGTGGAAGTGCATGCATTTGAGATGGCTCCACCAGGAATTTAAGGATCTGTGTAGTGATTCAATTCCTTTTTTACACCGTTTTCCAATGAGCAGATGACGGCTGTCAGACTGAGAACGGGGGAGCAGGGAGCATTACTGCTGGTGAACTTGGGCTGCGCCGAGTGAACAATGCGAGCTGAAGGTAAGCGAAGGAGAGATTTAGGTCGGTGTGAGGAGAGCTTTTGAAGTTGGGAGCAGCCTACACGGCACATCCTGGTCCCCTCTGTGTGGAGGATGGGAGTGGTTAGTCTTGCTTTTACAGTCCTCAAAGATGAGGTTGGTCACTGGAGAAAGGATGCTATTGAGGTTTCTAGCTCCTGGTTTAACAGAAGAGTGGTATCTTGGACATTTGTTCATAGAACAGCCTCTCAATGAGGCTAGACCACAGTGGTGCTGAGGGGTATGAGTGACTGGAATGTTTTTAGAGTGGAATGCTGCGAGTGGTGCTCCCCAGTCCCTGAACAGTGCTGATGGACAACTTGTTTGGAGATGAGAATCCATTGAACAGTATTGGCCGTCTGAATAGCAGGAATGTTCTGTGAATATTAAACACCTGGGGAGTATGTGCAGAACATTGTCCACTCATTGAGTTTTGGCACTTTGCATCTTGGGACTGTGGTTCTCTACCCTTTCCCAAATCAAAGACAATGGAAATATCCAACTATAGTGTTCAATTAAAACTGTTTATATGGAGTCAGGTTTAAGTGTCTTTTCTAGCAAATTCCAAATGCAATGCCTTTTCTGTTTTATACTAGGCTTAGTTTTGGGACTTACTGGGCAAGTTTAGCTTCCTGTTGAACTGTAGGTTTCTTTATTGTAGGCATTTGTTTTGGTGATGTTTCTTGCTTAAGCAGTTGTAGCACCAGCAGCCTCCTCCTCTTGAGCCTCCTTGGAGATGGGTTCAAACAGTGAAATACCATGTCGGGAGACCCAGTCAGATCAGTGAGTTCCTTACCACTCAAGTGTAACTGGGGAGGATGTGTGGGGCAGCTGTGGGCTTGACACCACTTGAACCACCTTCAAAGGTAGGAACAGCTTTCTTTTCCGACTGCTGCTCTGCACACCAGCCTTTTGATGGCTGTTCCCAGGAGCACCTGAGCCACCTGGCTGGTTGAGCCAAAGTTGACTTTGTTCCAGGTAAGGGGATTATGTAGCCTGCAGCTGCAGGGGTTCTTTGTTGGTTTTTTGTAGCTTTAATGGTAAAGTGTCACTAGCATAAGTACTGGTTAATCAGGAGATGGAAGTCAAATACTGAAAGTGTTGCGCAAGCACTGGGGGGGATTTGGCAAAATTGTTTATGGTATGACTGGAAAATTAGAGAATTGTCCGTATGTAAGATTTATTTCATGGGTGCACACATGTAACTAAATCTTACATTGGACATTTTAAAGTGAATTGAGTTAACTAAAGGGAACTAAGCTGAGTATGGAGTCTTCCTGATTAACCAGTGAGACTGTATTCTGTGAATGTCCACCACAATCAATCCTGTCAGAGGTTTAGTGCAATAAGGGGAGTGAGTTTCCAGCTGATTGGAAGTGGTTGTGTACTGTGCCCTGTGAGAGGGCTACATGAAGACTGCCAGGGGACTTTCTTATACTGGATGTGTACTTTAACCATGAGCACAAACTGTTATTGGCGTAAAACTGGCTGTGAAACGTGGTTAAGTGGTTCTGTTGATCCTTCAGAAAAGTTTTTTAAAGGAGCTTCTAGTCACTGGGGAATGTGAGGCTTAGTTTGATCATGGGTTAATCAGTATGTGTTCAAAGTGTTATCTCCATGATGGCCAAGTGTGATGCAGCTCAAAGACTTCAATCTACGTGGTGCCCTATCAATAGGTTTCAGGTAGTTTGTGCTTTTGTTTCTTATGTTTAAGCTCTAAAGCCTTTTCACCTTGGTTAAGACTGTAGCTGTTTGGTTCTGAAGATGGTGTTTTGATCTCATACTGCTGTGGAATTTTTTTCTTTTTGCAAAACCAGAAGTGGTTTGTCTCAAATTGAGTTTAAGGCAAAGGTTCTGCTGCACTAGGTATGCACTTTTAAGGTCTTTAAAAAGATTGAATTTCAATTACTATTTAATTTGGATATGCAGCTTTGCATAATTGGTTTTGTTTTTTGGTAGTGGTGGTTGAATTTTAAGGATGGGTAAGTTGTGCTTGAATGTGCAATACGTCTACATAGTGAACTACTGTAAATGGATTTGGTAACAATCATGTATTTTGGTTATAAGGCTCAGTTGGTTGAGCTAGAGGTTTTTAATTGGTTGTCTCAAATGTTCTTATTTTGCTTTTGCAACAGATTTGACTAGTTTTCTTTCCTGGTTTCAGCCAGTATCCAAGCTAATCTCAAGGAAGTGAAGCAACAGCATCTAAGTCCAGGGTGAGAACTGGCCTGGAGTATTGCAACAAGATCCAGAACTGTCAAAATGTTAGTATCAGTGTCCAAGATGCCATGCTGCATGGTGGTCTGGCTCAGAAGAAATGAGGCTAGCTTTGTCCTGAATAAGGTGAGGTGATCCACCTGCTTCAAGTTCTTATCTACAGAAACTCCTGAGCCTTTGAATAAGGTGGAAATGGTGGGTAAACTCAACATCCTACTGCTTGATGTTCTTGAACAGTTACTGGTATCTTTGGTGTGGATATGCATTTGCTTTTGCCCTAATCTGTGCCCTTTTGAGGCCTAGGTATAGGTGGGTTTGACAGGGACAGGCTTGGTGAACCCTGCTCAGAGGATGCTCACTGGATACCAGCTGTGTGACCTATTGGTAAGTAATGCAGTCTTTGCATTTCCTGGATGCACGTGGATCTTGGAGCAGGTGTAATAGAAGGCATGTCCCTGGAGCAGAGGTGAGTTTCACTCTTTTCCTGTCTAACCTTATCCATAGCAAACTTGATGCTATATAACCATTTAGTATTTGCTTGTCAGAACTGTTTACTGAAGGACGAAAAGCTCCTTTTGGAGTAGGCTACATGTTTAAGCTCTTGGACCTTTTGGTGGATAACGTCACACTTTAACATGCTGAACATTTTACACTGTTTCTAGAGGTGAAGCTTTTTTCTGGGTTATTTTTCCTCCCTGCTTGGTTGGGGTGTTTGTATACTAATGTACGCTTGACTGGCTGTCCATTCTGTCTTCTAGAAGACAATTACTGCTTTGCATCTGATTTATTTCATGGGTGCACACATGTAAATAAATCAGTTTAGATGCACAGTAGTATAATAGTGATGTGGTGCACCAACAGCCTCCTCCACTGTAGACTCCTTGCTGGTTACAGCATATCGACCAGGTACTCGTGATGGGTGTTGGCACAGGAACTGCTCTCCTCACAGGGGAGGAACTGCACTGGATCCCTCCCCTGTGGCAAGAGCCCTGGACTGGGGGTTTTCTCTTGGCTCTCTGCAGGGTGTTTTCCTGTTTTATCCTGGACAGATGCTGCACCATAACTACTTTACAAGTTTAGTACAAAACTGGAACTGGGAGTAAATGTTCTTGTGGTTTTCCAAGTGCAGAGGATTATGCCAAAACTGTCTACTTGGTTTTATGCTGCCGGAAGGGTTGACCAGACCTTTGCTCCCAGACGGATGACCTTTCATCACCAGGAGTGGAGTACAGATGGGGCTGGTCTCTGGGATCTTTAGCAAGATCAGCTGGAGGAATGGGGTGCTTGTTCAAAGGCTGAAAGTCAATGGTAACATCAGAGGATCTAGTCAGGTGAGTGGGTGTAGCGAGTTTCTGCCCAGTAAGAGAGATGGGGCATCTTGAGAATACTGATTACATGGGGTACTTCATTTTTCATTGGGTACATTTGGGTACTCTGGCTATGTTGGTTCATTTGGCTACATAGAGTATATTGGGCAGGCAACCTTTGGCATGTGCATAGGAGTTGCAGCAATGGTGTAGTACATGGTAGATTCAACTTTTTCTTTTGCCTACTTAGTTTTGCACTTACAGTGGACTTGAAAGACCCTAATATCTGGGTTGGAGGAATGTGGGACTATATGAAAGCCTTGTTGTCTTTAGTTCATTTCATGGACAACTGAGTATTTGATTGTCTTTAATTTTAACTGATCTTGGAAGAGAAGGAAGAACAATTTGGGTTTTGTCTCTTTGGGTCAGTGTGATGAGTATTTGAGGTTGTGATCAGTCAGGGTTAAAGGAAGGATTAAGCTGATGAATTTTTTACACTACATGCATATTTCTGTGACCTGGTGACACCTGTCAGATGGAGTAATTCAAAAGGGTCACGAGCTTCCCTGGAAGTTGGCTGTCAGTATAAAGGGAGATGAAGGCTGCCTTCTTACTGAACTTGATTTGTTTCCATTGGTTTCATTGTTTGCAGATGCATCGGTTCCTCATCTCATGTGAGTGTGATGCCAACCTGCAAGATTGCCCAGCTATGGGACAAGGAGCCTGTATTTGGTCAGATGAAGTTAAGGTGATACATCTGCAAGAACCTGTGACTCTACATGTGCATTCCAGCAGATTGGAAAAATGTTAATACTGGTGATGTTTAAACGTTTTATCCCACTGCCTGATTAGTTTACCCCTAACTCATCTTGCATTTTTAGTATAGGTTGTTTAAATAGTTGTTTAAGATGTTATCCATGTTTGATCTTTTTGGCATCAATGTCAAAAATGATTGAATGTGGGGGTTCTGATTTTTCTTTATTTTCCACAAGGTGCTGTTTTCCCAGATCCGTCTCGGTGGGAAGCAAGGAGCGTTACTGCTTGAGAAGTGGACTTGGGCTTCCCTCGGTGAACAAGGGGAGATGCAGGTCAGTGTGAGGAGAGCTTTTAATGTTGTGTGGAGGAGGGAAACGGACATTTTGTTTTGTTCTTTGTTGGTGCACTGAGAGGCAGCTGTTAGAGATGGGATGGTTTTCACCCCCTGGTCTCAGGAGAAGTGTCAGTATCTTGGTCAATGATGTTTACAGAACAGCCTCTCTCAATGAGGCTAGACCATGGTGGTGCTGAGTGGTATGAATGATTTGTTTTGTTTTTAGAGTGGAATGTCATGATGGGTGCTCCCCAGTCCCTGCCCACCTGAATGCAGACATGGAACAGTATTGGCTGTCTGAAAGGCATCAGGAGTGTGATCTAATTCCTTTCTGTGAGTATTGAAGTCCTGCAGATGGAACACCAGAAAGCAAGGAGGGGTTTGAAGCTGCCCTTGCTGAATCTGCTGGGCAGCTGTGGATGTAGGAACACATGCAAAGGTAGTCATGCAGGACAATGTCCCTCTAGCATTGGCGAGTTGTCCTTTTAGTTTCTCTTCTTTGATTTGGGAAAGTGTAGAGATGGTCATACTCATATAGAGGTATATGGTGTAACAAAATGCTATATAACTAGCTCTCGGATGGTAAGTAGTACAAAAAAGAAGCAATGTGCAAAATCATGCATCAACTATGAAATAAAGGATCTAAAGTTATGGGGAGTGAGTTTCTTGACATGCGAGGTTGAGGTAGATTTCAATGTGTTTGATCTTTAAGAGAAGGTACAGTGAGGGTTCAGATCATGGGTGAGTGGCTGGCAGTTTAATAGTGTGGGGGTAAAAATGGAGTTTGGTAATATGGGCCCGAGTGCTCCGGTACCGGTTTCTGGATGGTAGAGGGTCAAATGCTCTTCTTGCTTGGGTGCGTGGAGTCTTTGCTTGGAGCTTTCCTCAAGCACAGTTTGTCATAAATGGACTGGGCAGTTTTCACCACCTGCTGTAGGGCTTTGTGGTCGGCAATACTGCAGATGCAACCTGTCGGTGTACTTTCTGTTGTGCATCTGTATAAGTTGGCGAGGTTCTGGGGACATCTTGGGCTTCTTCAACTCTTTGGAAATACAGGCTGTTGTGCTTTCTTAATCAGACAGGTGGACAATGGACTTGGCACACACCCCTGGGGGACCCCAGTGTTCAGAGTTTGTGTGCTGGAGGTGTGGTTTCCAAGCCTGACAGCCTGGGGTCTGCCTGTCAAAGTCCCAAATCCCATTTGCAGAGGATGGTATTGAGACCCAGTGCACCGAGTTTCTTGTTTCTGGAATGATAAAAGCAGATTGTGAGTTAGTGAATGTTTTTTTTTAATCCAGATGAGATGGGGCAGTGTGTATGGCAATGAAGACTGTCATCTGTGGATCTGTTGGTACGGGTGTAGTGTCGGGAATGGTGTCCTCAATGTGCCCCATGACCAGCCCTTGAACCACTTTACCATGACGGTTGTTGGTGCTACCGTGTGGTAGTCATTAAGGCGTGTTACTGTGGTTTTCTTTGGTATTGGGATGATGGGGCCAAGCTGTAGTCCCCACCTGCTTCAAGACAAGCACCAAGATGTGCTGAAAATGTCTGAATACATTTGGCAGTTTATTGGTTTAGGTTCTGAGCATGCGACTGGGAATGATATTGGGCCTTGTGTGTGTTCACTTTTAGCAGAGATCTCCTCCACATTTACAGACAGCGAGAGCACCTGGTCGGTCGCGGAGGGTGCAGTTCTGTTGAGTGGATTCAAACGGAGTGTAAAAGGTGTTGAGCTTGTTGTGCAGGGAGGCATCATGGGCAGGTGCACAGATGTTCTTTCTTTTGTAGTCTATACCGTCCCACATGCGTGTTGGGTCATGAGTGCTGAAGTGTTCTTCTAATTTTTAAGTGTTTTTACGTGTTTAATACCTTTCTTTAGATTGATAGCTGACTTGAGTTTTGATTTATTGCCTAATTTGAATGTTTCATACCTTGTTTGGATTAGGTTGTGAACCTCTATGGTTTCGGTTTAGGAAAAAGTTATTGTTTTGAGTGTTCCACTGCCAGCAAATCTTGATGTAGCTAGTGAATAATGCATTTTCCTGTATGTCTGTGTGTGATCCCTGTGTGGCTGCCATTCTGACTGCTAGTTTTGCTTGCCTGCACAGTTTACTGTATGTGGGGAGGAGAGACTGATCTGAGCAGTGTATAGTAATTCTAGTGCTTCCTTGTCATTTGAACCGGGGGGGGGGGAATGTAGATGGTAAGTTGTAAATGCCCTCAGCAGATTATTGAAAATCTAGAGTGGCTGAGCAGTGTTCTGTGATGGTAGATGCGTTGTTGCACCACATGTTAATAAATGCATACATCCTCGCCTCTGGTTTTACTGGACTCTGCAGTTCTGTCCATGTGGAAGGCAGAAAACCCGTTTAGGTGCATCGCCTAATTCTGTCAGTCATTTTGGTGAATACATGAGTCCAGAGTCACAGCTGAAATTGACAACTAGTCAAATTAGACAACTAGTAAAGCTACTGGCTCCTTTATAACTTCCTTTTATAACAAGTTTATACAAAGTGTTTAAATGCCTTTTTGATTTTGGATGCGGCTCATGTTTGTGACTTTTGGTGGGCAATTTAAGCTTCCTTCAGCTCAACAGACTAAATGTGCAAAATGTAACTTGGTTTATTTTTCTTGGTAATTGTTTTCTTTGTGAAGCATTGTTTCACTGGCTGTCTTTCTGGCACTGAAAGATTTTTCATGGGTGCATTTCAAAGTAAATCACTGCAATATTAGAGACTTGGCACACCAGCAGACTCCTTGTCATGTCAGCCAGGTTCTGTTGATGGGTGGTGGCACAGGCACTGCACCTGAGCCCTGGACTGGGGGGTTTCCTGTTGGCTTGTCTTGAATGAACAAAGTTTGCTGTGGAAATGTTGTCTTGAATGTTTCTAAAAAGTGCAGAGGATGAAATCTCTACCTGAGTAACTTGCGGATGTGGTACAGTCTAGACTAGGATTGCAGCTGGGGTTCACTGTAAGAATTAAGTTGCCCTAAAACCAAATTGTTTTCATTGAAAGTAAGGTTGTCTGTTTTAGTGCAGAAAGGGGAGGGATTAGTTTCCAGCTATCTGGAAGTGGATGAGTGCTGTGCTTTGTGAAAAGGGAGGGCTGCATGGAAAACTGTAATGCTTTTGTTAGAGGACTCGTTTGTTTTCTTTTAAACAATTGCAACTGCTACAGTAACTTGTCTACATGGAATACAACTGTAAATGGATTTGGTCATCCCTGTTTACCTGGGGTTTTGGACAGTAGAATCTAAGCTAGAAGCTTTTCCCTCAATTTTGAGGGAGGAGTTGAGCTGGTCACCTATGTTTGCAGATGGATGCACCTGGGATCTGAAGTACTTGAATGCTTTTTGTACTGCATGTGAATTTCGGTGAGTTGGTGACGATTAAGATGGAGTTTTGAACTGAAACCAGAGATTCTTTGGATATCTTCTATTGAAAGAGCAGAACTACAAAGAAGCTGACGGTTGTCTTTTCGGTTACTGCCTGAATTGCTCAACTTGTTTGCAGGAGTCACTGTCTTTTAACACATGGGTACATGACACCATGCTGTTGACAGGGAGCTCAGTGGCTGGCTAAAACAATACATTCGGTTTGATTTGATGCAAGTATTGAACTTTTGCGCTTTTAACAGTGGAGAGTGAAGAGATGTTTTGCAGGTTATCCTTAAATTTCCTGGATGCCTATGGATCTTGGAGCAGTTGCGAAGCAAGTATCTAGGAGGATTGTGTTCCTGGAGCAGTGGTGAGTTTCACTTGTTTCTCTAATCATGTCCAAATCAAATGAAATTTTAATTTGTCCTTGTGTGTAAGACGTTTTTTTGAAGGTTGACAAGCTGCTTTTGGGTTAGGCCTAGCTTTGAGCTCTTGATGTGATGCTTTAATGTGCTAAACATTGAGTCACAGTGGTGTTTTTTTCTGGCTTATTTTTCCTCCCTGTTTGGTTGAGCTATCTGTATACTCATGTGCATTTGACTGGCTGTCATTCTGGCTCTGGAAGATGGAATTAGTGCTTTGTATGAGATTTTATTTCACGAGTGCACATGTAACGAATCACTTTAGATACACAGCAGTATGATGGTGACTTGGCACACCAGCTGCTGTCTCCAGTGTTGAGTCCTTGCTGGAGATGGCATTGAGGTTCTCTCGATGGGGGTTGGCACATGAACTGCTCTCCTCCCTGGGCAGGGCATTTTCCTGTTGGTTAGTGCTGGACAGGTGTTACACTGTATGTTGGGAGTGGAAATGCTGGCTTGACTGTTTCTAAGAAGTGCAGAGGACTTGGTCTAAATCCTTCTCTCCATTTCAGGCTCTGCTGCCAGATGAAGTGAGCAGGATTGTGCTTCAGAGAGTGGATCTTTCATGACCAAATGTGCAGCACAGATGGGGTTGGGCTCTGGGATGTTTCTGTGAAGATCTGCCGGAGGAGTGGGGTGCAAGTTAAAAGCGGCATCAGAGGATCGAGACGGGTGAGTTCTTCCCCCTCCTAGGAGGTGTGATGGAGCATTTTGGGTATACTCTGGGTGTATGTTTGTTTTAGGTACATTTGTGTGGACTGCTTATTGTTATATAAAGTCCAGTGAGTTTATTGGTTAGACAGCTGTTGGCATGTGCATGGGAGTTGTGTAGTACATTTAGGAAACTTTTCTTACGGTTTTTGCTCTTTTAATGGACACGAAAGATACTGTTATCGGGGAAATGTGGGAGAATATGAAAGCCTTGCATTTTTTAATGATTGAGATTTGGTTTTGTAACCTACACTAACTGCTTCAATTTCTTGTCTTTTGTGTCAAGCTGAAGGCGTAGGCAGACAAGCAAATGGATCTATGTCCTTGGTAAGCAGGCAAGGAAAAAATGGGTTGAGGGAAGGGATAAGTGGTTAACTCTGTTTTGGGATGGAACTTGTGTGCAGATGTTGGAGATGGACTTTTCCCCTGTGGAAGGAGCCCTGTTCTGTGGATTTTTGCTTTTGCACATTTCTGGGTGGTTTTCAGTTGGGTTTGTTTTGGAATTGTGTAGCACTGAACATTGATCATTTAGGTCAAAATGGGTGTTGGGGGGTGGGAATGTAGACTGGATTATTTCTGACTAGTGCAGAGGACTCAGTCTAGTTTTTTTTTTCTTTAGGTTCTCTGCTGTCTGGGGGGCTGACGAGGCCTTTGCTGCTGAGATAGGACCTTTAACAGGATGGGAGCCCAGATGCAGCAGACTGAGATCTGTCTGCGAAGATTTGCCAGAAGACTCGTGGGCCCGTTTTTGATTTCAGAAGACAATGGCCACAGAGGAGCATCAAAACTGCTGTACAAGTTCCTAATGACAAGCGAAGAATGAGGGGGAGGCCTTTTGTGGGGTGGAAAGAGGCTCAGGTGGTGCATGAAGCTGTAAATGGATCTCTGCACTCGGGTCTTGTAATGGGTGTTTGGCTCTTGGATTGTAACTTTAGCACCTGAGCCACCTGGCAAGGAGGAGACAGTGACTTTCTGTGTGGGAATGGAGAAAGTTTAGTTTTGTTACTTGGTAACCATTTTGTAAATTATGGGCCACTTGAAAAGCAGAGTTTGAGAGTCTAAGGTCAAGCAATGATTTATTTGCATGGGTGCACACATGTACATAAATCTTGCATTGGCTTTAGAGTAAAACTCAATTGAGCCCCTCAAGTAGAAATGAATAAAAGGAGTAGTTATGCCATCCACTCATTTGGGGAAAAGAGACATTGGTTTAGCTGAGAGTTGCTCTTTTTTCATACCTACACAGAAAGCACTTTTGTCATGGGGGGGATTTGTGTTATGTTTTGTGGATTTGTAAGTACTTTGCTAGACAATGTTCTCCTGTATTGATTGTATTTGTTTGTATGGCATCATAATAAAACTTGCTAAATGTACCAAATCTGTTCTTGTGTTTCTTGCATGTTGATTGTGGCTGTTCATTATATTGAATACATACTGGCACTGGATCTGCTTTTCCCTGCATTGCTGTGCTTGGAGATTTTACACCCTAAATGAGATTTTGATTTCAGTTTTTTACTACTCAGGATTTAGGTTACACTCTGCGTACATTTGGTGTAGTACATTTTTTTTTGGATCCAAGTATTGGTTTACTTTCACATAATAAACTTGGTGTTTTATGATTTTTGAGAATGTTTGTGTTTTGACCCTGTGTGGTTTGTGTTTTGATAAGTTCCATACTTTGGCTGTTGTCCCTCCCCATTGGTACATTAATTCATCCATCTGTGCCATTTTGACTTCTTCAATGAAACTTGACCAATCTGATCTCGGCTTATTCAGTATTTAACTTGGTGGTTCTCAGAATGTAGGGGTATTTGATTGTGCTTTGGTTCTGTTTTGCTTTGTGTGCTTTTTCGTTTAGCTTTGGCTTTGTGTAGATGTTTTGTACTTTATCCTTTATTTTGCAGTTTCCCTAATGTGTTATCAACCTCTGTGTTCTTTTGTGCGGTTTTTTGCTTATTTTTGTTTGTAGTTTACTTATGAATTTGTGTAAAGGGTTAGTTACATTTGTGGGGTATGTTTTGCAGATGTAGTTGGTTGTATGAGAGACTAGTATGGGTGAGTGCCTTGTTTTGTATGGGTTTGGGTAGATGGTGAAGGGTAGCTAGGCTGTTGGATGCTGAAGACCTGAGTTTTGTTTTGGTAGAATGGTCACTTTCCCTCACTTTATTATCCAGCTTTTTTGTTTTCTTTGGCACTGCCCTTGTCTGTTTTTCTACATACCACTCTTTGTATTAATTTTTTTTTAGACTAAAACTTGTCATGCTTCCCGAGTCCTTCACCAGCATCCTCAAAGTTACACCCTGAGACACTTGGTTGTAACAGGCACACTGCACACACCCTGATATGACTTGCAGTGCCACCTCTGATGGGGGGAGTTTTTACACCTACAGGCTGGGGGGGGTTGCACTTGTCTGGTTTGATTTCATTTCACAAGGGTAGGCCAACTTTTGTAGTAAGTTTGTTTTACCTTTATTGTATGTACCCTGTTGACTAGGTAGTACCCTGCTAAACAGCATTAGTCTAGTGTGGAGGTAGTGTTGGCAAAGTTTTTTACTCTGGTCTTTGGTTGTTGCTAATGGTTCTCTTCACAGCACCTCCCATGAGTCATACTGGAGACACTTTCATATTTAAGGTGTTTAATTTTAGTTTTACTGTATTTGTCTTTTAGTCTTCAATTCCCTTCCAGGTGAAAATGTCCAAGAAGCGGTTTAAGTTGTCCAGTATACAAGGTTTATGTAATGAATTTGGGTGCTGCTATTAGTATTTTTGGCTTGAGGTATTTGTTGATGCCTTTAAGTGAAGTAATAACTTCACTTTATTAGCCCTTTACAATTTCTTGCATTAGGAATTTGCCTTTTCACATACCCCAGCTTGCGCTCAATGAGACACACACACAGGTAAAGAGAAGAGCATGGGGTCAGAGCACAAGGTCAGCCATTGTACAGCACCCCTGGAGCAGTTGGGGGTTAAGGGCCTTGCTCAGGAGCCTAATGAAGGAGGATTCCTCTGCTGGCTACAGGATTTGAATCGGCAACCTTCCAGCCACCGCTGCAGATCCTTAGCCACAGAGCCACCACTGCACCCAAATAAAAGTGTATTGGATGTAGTGCTACAGATTAAGCTATTTTAGTGTAGAGATTGAGATTGCAATGTGCCCTTTTTATTAACCTTGTCAAATGGTTATAGCTGCAGTAGTTGTAGATTAAAGGGGTTGTTATACTTGGATGGAGTTTGAGGTTGCAGTTTAGGGAAGCAGTAAAATACATTTTTACTTTAAGCTTAGTGTAAGAACACATTTACAATTTTCATCCTTTTAAAGTCATTAGATTAGTTAGTTATTGAGGTATTGGTTTTATAGAGGGTTGGATTTTCAGTGGTTTAACTTTACAGGTCACTGCACTGCTGAAGACGGGATGGGATGCCAGTCCTTTTCTCCCGTCTCATTGTTCCAGAATGCAATTAACCTACCTTTTGTTCTTGAAGTTGTGCAGGAAACACAACTTGGAAGAAACGCACAAACTGGGGAGAAAATGACATGAGTATTCCAAAGCTGGTTCTGATGCACTTGTTCTATAAAGTGTAATGTGTAGAAAAATAAACTGGTGACACAAGTACCAGGTGTAAGGAGTGTTTATTTTCATGAGCCCTGCATGGAGTCCTTTGGAACCATGATGATGGCTGGAAGAGAAGCAAGAATGTGCACATTGACATTTAATAAGAAATGGTATGTATCATCCATAGGGTGAATAAAAATACTGTTTCACATTAGTTATCACATCATAAACTTGTTGGTAGTTGTCTTAAAGCAACGTTTTCTTCATTTTTAAAAGAACCCAAATAAGTGGGAAAAGGTCAGGTTGTCCAGATCCTACCTCTAGCCATGTAATTAAATGAGTTAATTCAAAACATAATGGTGCCATTTTTTTAAAATGGGCTCTTCTGAGACTTGTGAGGGTTATGTTTTAAAAAAAAATGCCACTCCAGTATTCATATATGCAACAGGAGATTGGTAGTAATCAAGGTTTTGTTGATTTACTCTTCTACTTTTGGTACAGTAGCTTAACTGCTCAGTTTATTCTACTAGATCTTGGGCATCTTTTTCTCCAATCCCAGAGGTGAGTGTGATTTGGGTCAGTCCAGTATAGTGTAATGACCTTTAAAATTAGAATCTATTTCATTAGTTATATCCCAGTTTTTTCAACTACCATGTTAAATCATAAAACTGCTAACTTTGTAGGATTTGAATTAGCTAAAGAGACACTTTAATTTTTGTTTTTCTTTTTAACACTTTTTCTTATAACCTTTTATAATGAATTACATTATGAAAAAAATCCTCTTAATTTACATGGACCTGTTTGGACGTTTCAACCAATTATAAAGTCAGTAGAAACTTTAACATGTGATTAGGTTATTGCAAAAAAGGTAGATTTAGTTAATAAATATCAAATAAATAACACTTTTCTCCACAAAAGGTTTGTAGTAGGAGCCAAGTGTATTTTATCCAAGTACCTCTTTTCTAAAATCAACTTTGTAAGAAACAACATGGGACTAACCAGCAGACAAAAGATTTGTCCCAGCACAAGTAAGGAAACAGTACTCGCCACTCTCCTCAGCTTCTGGACTCTTGAATGAAAACAGAGACACACGAAGTCTTCTTTTATCCTCTGACCTGGGATGGCTCCTCCCCCTCAGAATGTACCAAGTCCAGTGAGGGGTGAAACCTTCACAACTGACTGCTATAGTGGCTGGCTGAATTAAATCAACAGTTTTACAAACTCAATATAATACATCTATTCATTTGAAGATGGATAATGAATTTCTCGTTTTTGGGGTTAAATAAAGTGCGATTGATTGAATCATATGTGGGTCGCTATTCATTGATGAATATTGTTTGCACTTTTGAGCCTCTTTTTTGATCAAGAGATTTATACAGATGTAGGCATTCAAAGTGCATGTTTAAACCTGCTTCATATGGAATCTTTATATCGCATTTTAAAATAAAAGGGAAATTTTGGTAGCTGAACATAAAAATAACAGGAGCATAAATCTTTGAACATTATATCATCATAATTGATATTAATTTAGTAATATAAACACTATACTTTATGTCTAAGTGATAGGGGTAGCTTAAATAAAAAGTGCACAGAAGGATTGCACTTTACAAACATTTTATGCATCAAACTCACTTTCTGTGGGTAAGTTTTGATGTGCTCTTTCTGACTATGTTAAGTTTAAAACATTATTAAGATTAAAATATTATGGGTTCTTTTTAAAAGCATATAATCTTTTCTATGAATCCTTGCATTATTCCAGTAAAATACATGTACTTTTTAGAATCCACTGAATGAGGTAAGATTACTTTACTAGCTATATACACAATATCTTGCATTAGGAATTTGTCTTTTCCACATAACCCCAGCTTGCTCTCCACAGGATACAGAGAGGTTGGGGACCATTATACAGCACCCCTGGAGCAATTGGCCTTGCTTAGGAGCCCAAGGGAGAAAACACCCTCTGTTAGCTGTGGGATTTAAACCAGCAACTTCCCAGCCCCAGCTGCAGAGCCTTAGCCACAGAGCCACCACACTTTCCTAATCTGCTTATGAAATGGAAATATGTAGTAAAAGAAATTAGTAATCACATTAATGGATCAAAATATTAAAGATATTTATGAACTGATTGTATAACTGTAGTCTGTTTTCTTTGTAAATATTTTTTTTTGTGACTCATTCAGTCCTGATTACTTTTGGAACATTTTGACCCGTCTGTTTCAGCAGAAATTCCAAGTGCTCTGTTGGTGCAGTGGGTTTGGCTGAGTGGTCTTCTCACCCCCTGGGAGATCTGGGTTCAATTCCTGCTTAGAGCTGAAGTTTTTTTTCCTAATAAAAAGTCTAATTTTAAAAAACATGAAATAGTAAATAGTATGTATAGTATATTAACATTTTTATATAACTAGATGGTAAAAAAAAAATTCTTTAGGCATGAAAAACAGGTAGAGCATGCTTCATTATGATGCAAGTGGTGTTGGGTGCTGGATAGCTCAATGGGTTAGAGTCTGGTGTTACTAACATCAAGGTTGTGGGTTCAATTCCTCTATGGGCCATGAAATCCCATTTTCCATGGTGTGGTGGCTCTATGGCTAAGGATCTGAGACTGGCTGGTAGGTTGCTGGTTTGTATCCCACGGCTGGCACAGGAATCCTATTTCATTGGGCTCCTGATTGAGGCCCTTCAGCCCAAATGCTCCCGGGGTGCTGTATAAATGGCTGACCCTGCAGTCTGACCCCAAGCTTCTCTCCCTGTATGTGTGTCTCATGTAGAGGCAATTGGGGTATGTGGAAAGACAAATTCCTAATACCAGAAAATTATATATG